AAACTATCACCCTCATGCTCAGGATCTTCAGCATCATTTCCTGCACAATCCATAACCTCATCGTCATCCTTATCCTCTTTCTCTACATCATCAGCATCTTTGGACCCATCATCCTTTTCTTCACCTAAATCCACATGTTCAGCATCCCGCTTTGGTCTCTTCTTAAGCTGTACCAGCATCAGCCTACCACTTCTACGCATGGGAGATGCACTTTTAATAAATTCTGCTTTCCTTTTCAAGGCAAACACCCCACCAGCACGCGCATTTGACTGTGGTGAGCCTACATTTCACGTGAAAGATTAAGTATTACACACCTGTCTCTTAAAATTTCCAACAAATTAAGCAACAACTAAACATGGAATACATATTAATCAAATCACCCCATCCAACTGAAGGATACATGACAATGTTATTTTTTTTTGTGAAATTCAACACAATATGATACCACATTAAACACACAATAGCTAAATAAGATAATGCTAAACTTTCTGCTTAACATGCAACTTAGGTACACTACAATGTGCTATAACCATGAAGTTAAAGAAGCAGTTGAGAAGACTTAAAATGCATATGATTCTTGATGATATGCATCAGTACAAGAAATCTAATGCACTGTCATAGTATTCCCATGTACATCTTTCTGTTCCTTATTCATTTCAAAGAAAAGAAATAAATCCTGGCCAGTATGCATACTACAGAATAGAACTACCCCAACTACAAAACATGCAAATCCAGTACATTATGATGTTTGTCTACTAACTACAAAATATGCAATAACACTTCACTGAAATGAACTATATCTGCTAATGAAAAACACCGGCATTATTCTTTATTCTTCAAAAGAGGAACAACAATCGTATGACAACATTGCATTCTTCAAAAGCAACTAACACATCTATCAACATATCAAGCTGCACAGTACCAAAAAACCAATTGCTAAAACCAATATGCTAAAAAAATATTGAGACCAGAAATATAAACAGAATATTTACCATATAATCCTTACACACACACAGAGGCACCAATTCATAACAACACACTACAGAATTACAACTGCAATGTGATGCCATACAATAAAAAACACATCATGCATCAACCAAAAAAACTACTTCAACTAACATCCATTCTGGAATCATTTTCCTATGCAATATTACTACAATTTCCACCCCCCTTAAATAATCACATTTAAACAACTATGACCTAATTTGCAATGAAGAGGTCCCAACAACACATATTACTTGTATATTCTTCACATTTAAAAATCAATTCTTCACACGTGCTCACAAAATAGTTTAATGCTAGAACACAAATATACTCATACCCAAAATCATTTTTTTCCCAGACAAAATCCCTACACCCAAATTCCAAAATCTGTTTCATAAAAGTCAAGACTATTACACAAAAATACTCATAATGCTAGAACACAAATAGTTTAATGCTAGAACACAAATATACTCATAAATTGTAATTACAGATGCACCAAAAACTCGCAAAGAAGAATGTCGAAGACCCTTACGAAATTAAAACTACAGATGCATTAATCAACGGCATGCAATACAACCAAAACCCCAAATCAAATAGACCCTTTCGAAATTAAAAACGCATACCTTCAACCACCATCGCTGATTTCCCCGCAGTAGTCATGCCTTAGAATGCAATTTCTAACAGCCACCTCCTTCACGAGGTCTCCTTCTTCTTAAGGCGTGCACTGCAACTTTCTCTCACTTACCAATTTCACTCTGAACGAAGCTCTGAAGAATGCAGCGCCGGCGGAAGAAAAGGGTTATGGAAGAAAGCAAAAAGACTTCTATTCAAGGCAAAATGCGTAAGTGGCGGGATATTAAAGATCTGCACCTTTTTTACGCTTATT